TCCTTGGACGTTACTCATCCCTGCCATTTTTGCACTAGACTTTAAAAAACATGATTCTAATAGCTTATTGCCAAAAAGTCTAGTTTGGTCTTTTTATACAAAATAAACTTTTATAAATAGAATCTTGCCATCTCATGGACTTTTTGGCTTTAGATATGTTGTGGTATTTCTCATGAATCTTACCATGATGGTGTATTCTTGATATTGTTTGGCTGTGTCCCCACCCAAATCTCATCTTGAACTGTAACTCCCTTAATTCCCACGTGTTGTGGGAGGGAGATAATTGAATCATGGGGCCAGTTTCCTCCATACTGTTCTCATGGTAGTGAATAAGTGTCATGAGAGCTGATGATTTTATAAGGGGAAACCCCTTTCATTTGTCTCCCATTGTCTTCTTGCCTGCCACAGTGTAAGACATGCTTTTCACATTCTGCTATGATTTTGAGGCCTCCCCAGCCACATGGAACTGTGAGTCCATTAAACCTATTTTCCTTTATAAATTACCTAGTCTTGTGTATGTCTTCATCAGTGGTGTGAAAATGGACTAATAGAGTAAATTGGTCCCAGTAGAGTGTTGTGCTGCTGTAAACGTAGCCAGCGACTTTAGAACTGGGTAACAGGCAGAGTTTGGAACAGTTTGGAGGGCTCAGAAGAAGAAAGAAAAATGGGGAAAAGTTTGGAACTTCCTAGAGACTTCTTAAAGGGCTTTGACCAAAATGGTGATAATGATATGGACAATGAAATACAGGCTGAGGTGGACTCAGATGGAGATGAAGAATTTGTTGGGAACTGGAATAAAGGTGACTCTTTCTATGTTTTAGCAAAGAGACTGGTGGCATTTTGCCCCAGCCCTAGAGATGTGTGGAACTTTGAAATTGAAGGAGTTGATTTAGGGTATCTGGTGGAAGAAATTTCTAAGCAGCAAGGCATTCAAGAGATGACTTGGGTGCTGTTAAAAGCATTCTCTTTTAAAAGGGAAACAGAGTATAAATGCTCAGAAAATTTGCAGCCTGAAGATGCAGTAGAAAAGAAAAACCCATTTTCTGAGGAGAAATTCAAGCCTGCTGCAGAAATTTGCATAAGTAATGGGAACCAAATGCTAATCCCCAAGACAATGGGGAAAATGTCTCCAGAGCATGTCAGAGACCTTTGCAGCAGCCCCTCCCATCACAAGTCAGGAGGCCTAGGAGGAAAAAATGGTTTCATGGGCCAGGCCCAGGGTCTTCCTGCTGTCTGCAGCCTAGGGACTTTGTACCCTGCATCCCAGCTGCTTCAGGCTAAAAGGGGCAAAGGTACAGCTGGAACCATGGCTTTAGAGGGTACAAGCCCCTGTAAAGGGGGTAGTACCTTCCATGTGGTGTTGAGCCTGCAGGTGCACAGAAGTCAAGAATTGAGGTTTGGAAACCTCTGCCTAGATTTCAGATTTCAGAGGATGTATGGAAGTGCCTGGATGTCCAGGCATAAGTTTGCTGCAGGGGCGGGGCTCCTCATGGAGAACCTTTGCTAGGGTAGTGTGGAAGGGAAATGTGGGGTTGAAGTCCCCACACAGAGTCCCCACTGGGGTACTGCCTAGTACAGCTGTGTCCTCCAGACCCCATAAGGGTAGATCCACTGACAGCTTGCACCGTGCACTTGGAAAAGCTGCACTCACCACCAACTTGTGAAAGCAACTGGGGTGGGGAGCTGTATCCTGCAAATCCAGAGGTGCAGAGCTGCCCAAGACCATGGGAACCCACCTCTTGCATCAGTGTGACTTGGATGTGAGACAAAGAGTCAAAGGAGATCATTTTGGGGCTTTAAGATTTGATCGCCCCACTGGATTTTGAACTTACGGGGCACCTGTAGCCCTTTGTTTTGGCCAATTTCTCCCATTTGGAACAGCTGTATTTACCCAGTGCCTGTACCACCATTGTATCTAGGAAGTAACTAACTTGCTTTTGATTTTACAGGCTCATAGGCAGAAGGGACTTGCTTTGACTTGCTTTGTCTCAGATGAGACTTTGGACTGTAAACTTTTGAGTTAATGCTGAAGTGACTTAAGACTTTGGGGGACTGTTGGGAAGGGATGATTGGTTTTGAAATATGAGGACATGAGATTTTGGAGGGGCCAGGTGTGGAATGATATGTTTTGGCTGTGTCCCCACCCAAATCTCATCTTGAATTGTAGCTCCCATAATTCCATGTGTTGTGGGAGGGACTCAGTGGGAGCTAATTGAATGATGTGGGCAGTTTCCCCTATACTCTTCTTGTGGTAGTGAATAAGTCTCATGAGATCTGATTGTTTTACAAGGGGTTTCCCCTTTCACTTGGCTTTCATTCTCTCTCTTGCCTGCCATCATGTAAAATGTACCTTTTGCCTTCCACTATGATTGTGAGGCCTCCCCAGCTATGTGAAACTGTGAGTCTGTTAAACCTGTTTGCTTTATAAATTACCCAGTCTCAGGTATGTCTTTATTAGCAGTATGAAAACAGACTAATACACTTTGTTTAATCTGTTCTTTGAATGGATGTAATCCATAAACAAATACCTTGCATTTCTTGAGACATCACCTATTAAATAAACATGTTTAGAAATGAGAAATAATTTTGCCTCCAGAATCCCTATTTCCTAATTTATGTTTTGGACCACCATGGGTTTCTCATATTAAGACATGCTCCTCCTGTACTCTAAAACACACTGAACATGGAAGACTTCTCCAAGTCCTTGGTTAAACAAATATAAGGGTACAACAAAGAATAAGAGCCACTGGTGCACGTCTCCATCTGGCAGCTGGAAGCTTGGCTGGGGTCTCTCACAATCCGTTTCTTAAAGACTATTTGTTTCTTATTTACCACCTATTTCCACCCCTGGGGAATGGGAAGAGGTGGGGGTGTGTGTGATTGGAGAGATCAATGGGGAATCATGTATACATTCTTTTAAATGCCCATTTCTGAGATTCTCTGAGAGTCATTGTATTATAGTCACAGCCTGGAGCATGGGTGATGATAATACAGCATAGATGAAAATGCTACAAACTTGCTCAGGGCACTGACAGGAACATAATTTATAATGAAAAGATCATGCTATTTAGGAATAGAGAGGCCTGGATTTAAATCCTAGCTCCACCCTAATACATGTGGGACCTTGACTTAGGTAGGTTTACCTCAGTTGAGCCTCAGTTTTCCCAACAACCCTATGAAATAGGAAATTATATCTCCATTTTACAGATGCAAATTCAAACCATAAGGAGATACCATTACATACACACTAGAATGACTAACATTAAAAAGACTGTAAAGACCAATTGTTGGCAGGAATGTAGAACAACTATAATTATTATATACCGTGGGTAGGAGTGTAAAATTGCATAACTACTTTGGAAAAATTATTTGGCAGGTTCTTAAAAAGTTTGAAATGCATCTACCATATGACTGAGCCATTTCACTTCAATATACTTTCTCAAGATAAATGAAGACATGTATTTTCTCTAAGAATTGTACATGAATTTTCCTAACAGTTTTATTTGCAATAGTCCCAAACTAGAAACAACCAAAATGTTCATCAATAAGTGAATGCATAAATGAATGTGATGAGTGCATTACATAGACTAGAGTACTACTAGCAATAAAACGGAACAACTACAAATACATATTGTAACGTGGATGAATTTCAAAACAGCATGCTGATTGAAAGAAGCAAGACAACACATACTCTGCAATTCAGTTTACTTAAACCACGTCTCATCTATAGTGTCAAAGAACAGATCAGTGGTTGCCTTGGGGTGGAAGTAAAGAAAGGAATGGACTGCAAAAACGTATGAGGCATTTTGTTCTGTAGCTTGATTGTGATGCTATTCTCATGGATGTGTGTATGGTTGTCAAAACTCTTCAAGTGGTGCACTTTGAATGAATGCATCATTGTAATATATTATTTCTCAATATTGTTGATTAGGGAAGAAGATAAGTTGTTTAAAGCAAAAATAGCCATGTGGTTTATAACACATGCAGAAGATATGTATCTATATATATAATATGTATACATATCTTTATCTATAAAATCTCAACAGTAGCAAAGTGGATGGGGGAGTGGAATTGAGGTATACTTTATTGTTGTAAGGTACAGAATTTCCAAGGGAAGTGGAATTAAAAAGTTACAAATACAAGAGGCATGTGAAACTTTTTTGTGTGTGTGGATAAAAGAAAACAATTTGGAACATGATCGTATGTGTGTAGACCAGAATAAGAGAAGCGTTGAGCCTGGGGGGCCTCTTTGTGCTGAGTCAAGGAGTGCCTAGACAGATGTTAGCATGAGTAGTGAGGCCTATAAATGGATTGGAAGAAAAGTAAACTCGAAAAGAAAGCAAAGGAGAGGTTTTCCAATGGGAGAGCGATGTGGTGGAGACTCATGGTTGCAGATACAGTCATGGTGCAGGATGACAGTTTTGACAGACCCATGAAGACTTTGGTAGACTTTGGAGAAGCAGGTTTAACCTGAGATCTACATCAGATGCCCACAAGCCTCTGCTATTCCTGTGGTTAGTGTTTGCAGAGTTTGCAGGTATAAATTTTTTTGTTATATTTCTTTTGACCTATTTGTCTTTGTATTTTGAGTGGCTTTCTTGTATAAAGCATCTAGTTGAATCTTGACTTTTTAAAAAACCATGTCTGACAATCTCCAAATTAAATAGTACTATTTAAACCATTTGCACCTAATGTAGCTATCAACAAACATAGAGTTTTAGAATATTATCCTGCAACTTTTTCTCTATTTATCCCACATGTTATTTGTTCCCTTTTCCCTCTGCACCTGTGTTTCGTTGACTAATTGAATAATTTTTAGTATTCCACAGGTAGTGTCTTAAATGTTATTTTTTAGTGACTATCTACAGTTTAAAATATGCATCACTGACATCATATTCTTTCCTCAAATAGCATTATAGCACTTCACAGATAATGCTCCTTCACACATGTGCTGGGTGCACCGCCACTTCCATCACACATCTCTGCTTTGTCCCACAGGTATGCCGGGGCCCTCCTGGATGAGGATGTCTTCCAGGGAAAGGAGCTGGTCAACAGTCACTCACTGCAGGCTCTGGTGGCGGGGCTGAAGGCCTACAGCACCTGGGAGAACATCCGCTGCCTGCAGGACTGCTGCGAGTGCACTGGAGGCATGGTGAGCGCCAAGGCCTACAGCCCCTGCGGGTCCCCATGATACAACCCACCCTGGGGGAGCACTGTGGGGCGGGCAGAGAACATGCTTCAGAGTCAAATAGAAATCCCAACTGCCCATGACTCTGGGTTCCTTCCTTACCAGCCTCGTAGTCTTGTGTGTCTCCCTCATATCATGCTGCCAGGACTGATAGAGAACATGTTTGTAAAATGCTTGCCTGGCCCATGGAGGCACGCAATAAACATCATGAAACTTGGTGGGGCAAAGGTAGTAGTGGACAGTATGGGAAAGGGCCACTGAAGGTTCAGATGATCAAAGCTCTGCTCCAGTGTTTTAATCCCTTGGGGAGAACACAGGAAATGACCCTGAGGGTTTCCCTCACCCCGGGTGAGGACATAGGAGTCAGAGCATTCAGAGACTTCCTGGTGTGTCCCCAGCCCCAGTCTCAGACTGGATTGTGCGGTGAGAAGCACAAGGTGTGAGTAATCCCAATGTTAGTATTTGAGGGAGTTGAGGGGGACTCTGAGAGCAGCTGGATCTATGTGCAACCGTGAGAACAGAGGCCCTGCAGGACTCTGCAGATCTCCACAGGCGTCTGCACCCATGTGAGGGTCCAGAGCCCATGACAAAGTGAACCCAAGTTGGGTGTCTGAGGGCAGGACATGTAGCATGAGGCTGTGGACCTGTGACACGGTGGCATGGCAGGACTGCAGGATCAGCTGTGCACTTCATTCGAACGCAGGCCAGATGTGGCAGCTACTGGAACTTCAGATCACACCCCTAGAGGAGAATGGAAGGAGGGAGCCCCTGTTGGTCTTTGGTCTGAATTTAATGCTGAACTTCATCGAATGTTTGCTTAAAAACAGCACCTCTGAACATGAAGGGGAAGACAAAGAGTTCTAGCCTCAGTAGAGAATGGGTCAAGGGCAAGTCAAGGGCAGCTGTAGAAAATAAAAGGGAAAGGATAAGTTTCTGGAAAGCCGATTCCCTGCCATGCGTATTGAGCTAACGGACCGCACAGAGGGGCAATGGTGAAGAGGGGCTGAGCCTTCATAAGAGGCAGAGGTGCGGGCAGAGCCTGAGGGCCTCTCCCATGCGATCCATGGTGTTGGTCCACCTGAAAGCCAGTGTGATCATTTGTTTTAGGTGGCTGAGTGAAGATGTGTCCCTGATGATGATTGGGGGTGGGGAATGTCTACTTCATTCCTATGGCGATGTTGTGTGGGGTCCACATGGAAAAGAAAGGGAATGGAGAATAAAATAATAGCTGGCCTAGGGTGCAGCTGGCCAGGAGCTGAGGTCCTCCAAGGCAGCTGGGACAATGGCACGATGTGACTGTCCTTAGCTAAGGAGGGCCCTGCCAGGGGGCTGGTTTCTACCTATGTCTCCAGGAGGTGGCTGTCCCTTCAATCCGCAGGCTGGGAGCAGCAGGGAACATAGCCCAGGGATTCCGGGGTCGAGTAAGAAAGTTAGGTCAGCAGGTGGGGGGGTACGACCTAAAGTGGCCCCGCAGGCAGGGGCAGCCCACACAGTGAGGGGTTGGGGCACTGCTGGGGGCCCTGAGCTTAGACACTGTGGCCTTGACAGGTGACTCAGCCTGAGGGCTCGCTCAGAACCCCCTACAGGCTCCTGGTCCTCTGGGCTCCCGTGGCTCATTCCCTTTCTCACAGTTCACAGGTGGGCAGGCCAGGGGTCTCCCTCCCCCAGGCCTTCATAGCCTCCTTGCACAGAGAACCTCCTGTGTCCCTCTTGTCATCCTAACCCTCGTCCTTTCATCTTGGCCTCAGTGCTCATTCTGGGAGGCCATATTTCCCCTGGGCCCATGCTGAGCCCTGGCAGTGCCACCCGGAGCAACCACCCTTGCCTGGTCTCCAGTGATCCAGCCTGTCATGATCACCCATGCTGCCAAGGACCACCCAGCAGTGCAGAAATGACCCTACCCTGTTAGAGAAGGCACAGTCCATGCTGGAATGCCAACTGCCTGGGCACGCTGCCTCACAGAGCTCTGCGCCCCGGAGCTCCTGAGCAACCTGGGGCAGAGGGCCCTAGAAGGCAAATGCTGTGTCCTCTGCCCACAGTATTTCTGACACCAGATGTGTGGCTTTTCCATAACAACCAGTTCTCTAGTTCTCTGTGGAACCAATGGGGTGCTCTACAACAGTGGCCTCCCAACTTTTTTTGGCACCAAGGACTGGTTTCGTGGAAGACAATTTTTCCACGGATGGTTTTGGGGGTGGGGGGTGCGGGGTAGGGGAGATGTTTTCGGGATGAAACTGTTCTGCCTCAGATCCTCAGGCTTTCGATTCTCATAAGGAGCGTGCAGCCTAGATCCCTCACGTGCACGGTTCACGATAGGGTTCACGCTTCTATGAGAATCTCATGGTGCCGCTGAACTGACAGGAGGTGGAGCTCAGGCGGTCATGCTCGCTCCCACCACTCACCTCTTGCTGTGTGGCCTGGTTCCTAACAGGCCACGGTCTGGTACCAGTCCGTGGCCTGGGGTCTGGGGAAACCTGCTCTACAATTTAATTTATTCTGACAACGACTACCTGGAGTGCATGCAGACTCCACAGATTAAGGCCTCAGTTCCATAAGTCTTCCTCCAACTTTGGATGCTAGTCACCAATAATGCTTCTCTGGGTTACCTGCACTGTTGTTATTATTATTATTGAAACAGGGTCTCACTGTCACCCAAGCTGAAGTGTAGTGGCACGATCACAGCTCACTGTAGCCTTGAACTCCCGGGCTCAAGCAATCCTCCTTCCTCAGCCTCCCAAATAGCTAGGACTACAGGCACATACCACTACACCGGCTAATTTATTTTTTGTTGAGATGAGGATCTCACTATGTTGCCCAGGCTGGTTTCGAACTCCTGGCCTCAAGTCATCCTCCCATCACACCCTCCCAAAGTGCTGGAATTACAGGTGTGAGTCATACCCTGGTCTACCCACACTTTTGCCTCACTTGTCTATAAATCAGGAGTTCCCATGACCCTCTCCTTAGGTTCAATAATTTGCTACAACAGCTCACAGTACTCAGGGAAACACTTAAATGTTTACTGGAAATAATTAAGGATACAGATAAACAGCCAGATAAAGAGATACATCGGTTGAGGTCCAGAAGGGTTCTGAGCACAGGAGCTTCTCTCCCTCTGGAGTTGGTGTACACTGCTCTGCTTGGCACGAGGATGTGTTCAATAACCTGGAAGCTCTCTGAACCACACACTTTAGGGATTTTTTTTTTTTTTTTTTGAGATGGAGTCTCTCTGTGTTGCCCAGGCTGGAGTGCAATGGTGCAATCTCGGTTCGCTGCAATGTCCGCCTCCTGGGTTAAAGCAATTCTCCTTCTTCAACTTCCTGAGTAGCTGGGATTAAGGCATGTGCCACCATGCCCAGCTAAGTTTTGTACTTTTAGTAGAGATGGGGTTTTACCATATTGGTCAGGCTGTTCTCGAACTATTTTAGGGATTTTTATAGAGGTTCCATCACATAGGCATGATCAGTTATTAACTCAATCTCTAGCTCCTCTGACCTTCCTGGAGGATGGCAGGGGTTTCAGGGAGGGCGATAAAAACTCTGAGCTTCTAACCATGGCTTGGCATTTCTGATGACCAGCCCCCATCCAGAAGCTGTCCAGTAGCCCACTAGGAGTTGCCTCATTAGAACAAACGATGCTCCAGCACCCAGGAAATTCCAAGAGGTTTAGGAACTCTGTGTCAGGAACCGGGGTCAAAGAGCAAATTTAGAACAAAGAATGCTTCTAGCATCCCTGTCACTCAGGAAATTACAAATGTTTTAGGAGCTCTGTGCCAGGAACCAAGGATGAAACAAAATGTACATTTCTTATTAGATCACAATATCATGGCCCTGATTTCCATTTTTGTTCGTTCCCTTCTCCTCCCCACTCCCAATCCACTTGGCACCTAGCATGGAGATATTTGTAGGGCACAAATATTTCTTGAAAGAAAAGAATGAGCATCTTCTAATTGTTTTAAGCTCATATGCACACACGCTGCATCTTCTTCAGGCTGGAACTCCCTGGGAGTGAAGTGTGGACTTGAGTCTGGGGGCTACTGAGAGGAAACTGAGGACCATCTCTTTTTGTGGCTTGTAGGACTAGGCACATCTTGCTTCAGAAAAATGTATTTCAACACACATTTACTGCCTTTGAAGCCAGTAATCCTGGGCATGACTTTGGGCCAGTTATTCCCACCCTATGCCTCAGTTTTTCCATACGTAATATGGAGATAATAAGCCTTCCCTTGTAGAGGTTGTGGGAGTTAAATTCTATGAGACAAAGAGCATAAAAAGCTTAACACATGGACTCCAGAAGTAGGAGCTGATGTTTCCTTGATGTGCCCAGGCTGGGGATTTAGAGAAAAGACATACCACATGGTCTCTTTTACTTGCCATTGTACAAGGTAGACAGGTGGCTGCAGAGCCCAGCACGACGAGGCAGGCCCTGTGCAGCTGCAGGGGCTCGGAGTACTCAGTGTGAACTATGGAGGGTCCCCAAGCACTGCCACTTGAGCAACTTAAGGAATGAGCAAGAGCCTTCCAGGTGGGACTGGAGGACCTGCCAGGCAGGGGAACCTGAATGCAAGATGAGGGTGTGGGAGTCTGTGGTGCACTGAGGGACACCATGACAGGCATGGGCTGGGTCTCAGTGAGGGTGCAGGGGAGGAAAGGAATAAAGGGAAAAAGTGGGAACCAGACCTAGAGAAGGCCCTGAGCCTGTCTGCACAGCTGACTGCAGCAGGCACTCTGTGGTACCTTCAGGCTCCAGCACCACATGGTGCAGCTCATGGAGTACATGGAGGCTCAGCCTGCAGCACTGCAGCATGGTGCTTGGCACGTATGGACACTTCATGTCAGCTATTCTCACTTACTTCCATTTTAAACATGAGTAAACTGAGGCTAGACCATGAGGGCAGTGAGGGCAGGGACCAAGTCCTTGATCACTACAGTCTAAATCTGACTGTTGTGTAGAATATTCAGGAGGTA